TAATAATATTTGACATTTCATTCAAACGATCCATTGGCAAAGTATTTATTCATTATATTTTGACAAAATGCAATTATTGCAAATGCACTATATTTCCACATCACTTTGGGAATTAATCCTCAGTTTGACGAGAACGGTCACATTTGTCTTTGATTACAACCTTCATTTTGAAAAAGTAGAATTATTGGTCACCAGTTGTGTCTCGCTGTGATGAATTATCTTCAGAATAGTTTTAAAATCTGTCCAGAATCTGCACTTTGAGGTACCGTAGTCGTAGTAATACTTTAGTTGAGTTAATGTTGGGTAATTTAGACACCTTTTTAGATTCTTGAAGCATTGCATACTTTTTTTCTTGCAGAGAGTCTTTTCCCAATGACCTGCAGTTCACTATTCTSATGAGGTTCACCGTGGACCAGACTCAGACGCACAACCTCAAGGTACTGACGAGTCATTGTGATGTGTGTTGGAGGTAAAATTGAACCTGTTGTCATGAAGCTGTAAATGAGGGATGCTGTTTTCTGCTTGAACTACTGGCTGTTTGTCCCCAAACCCCTGAATCCTGGACTGTGATTGGTCRCTGATTGATTCCTCCTCTGACGCTTTAAAGTCTCACCTTACTCACCCAGCTTTCAGCTTCTTTCCTCACTTTTTTGTCGCTCTGCCTCATCTCATGACTCCTTTAATATTTACCTTTATTTCCGCACCTTTATTATAATCGGCTTCTTTCACAGCTTTTCAGGATAGAGCAGAAACTACTTACCCAACTAAACAATTAGGATCTCCTGCTGCAACATGTAGTAGAAACTTTACAARTAGTTATGAAGGAACTGCTCTAAAGCAACAACTACCTCAGCAGCTGTAAAAACCACGCACAAGCTGACACTTATCTGGCAACAATGATCAGAAAATTTATAAGCCAGAGTCCACTTTCCTGTCTTCCCCCTCACTCTTCCTCCCGCTTTTCATGTCCCTGTGCTGTCCCCTGTCCTCGTCCCCCTGTCTCTGTTGATTGACGCRGTGCTTGTCCTCTCTCTTTCTGAAGCCTGCACGGAGCTCGTGTTGCGGGCGAGGCAGGGGAGGGTCCGGGGTAAAATTGTTCCCCCCCAGAGCGCGGCGCCACGCTTGCTCTCTAGAGGAGCAGGCGRCAGCCTGGAGCCAGTCCTCCCAGGTCAGTGCGCTCCGGGGGGGAGCAATTGTGTGGCGCGCGCGGTGCTGCTGAGTGATTTGGAGGAAGCTCTGGCCCTTGAGGTGCAGATGTAGAGGCACGGAGATGAGAGCAGGAGTCAGTGTTGACATTTTGGAGCCTGCCGGTGATTGTTGGCATTTATCCTTTCCTTTGTTTTTTTTTTCCATTTGCCATTGGTTTTATTTATTTTTACCTGTTTTTGCGAAGCATGAACATAAGTTGTGACTTTGACAATCCTCTGAATGATTCATCCAATTGTTTATTTTCAGATCTGCCAGAGGTGCTCTCTGTCAACATTAATGGTCATTTTCATGTGTGTCTGGTTTTGTTTTTACTCTGTGTTTTTGTATTTGCAGGTGAGTTATGACCGTGCAGCTGSATATTAACGTTTGTTTACGTGTGTGTGTTTGTGCAGGTGAAAGTGGCGATTCTAAAGTACATTGAGACGTTGACGCTGCAGATGGACGCTCCGGACTTCGTGAACTCCAGTGAAACTCGACTGGCTGTTTCCCGCATCATTACCTGGACAACTGAACCTAAGAGCTCCGACGTCAGAAAGGTCCTGAGCCTCATTGTGAATGTTTATGCTAACATGCATCTCAGCCAGCTCTGAACAGGCTCTGTTGCTACTGACAAGTCCTTCCTACAGTTGCTYCTCTCTTTGTTCCTTATAGGTCTCTAAATGAGAACATTTTTTTTTGTGTTTTGTTCCTATCAGGCAGCCCAGTCGGTGCTGATTTCCCTCTTCCAGCTCAACACTCCAGAGTTCACCATGCTGCTGGCGGCTCTTCCCAAAACATTTCAGGATGGAGCCACAAAGCTGCTTCAAAACCATCTGAAGAACACAGGAAACGCTGCACAGGTAAAAACTCAACAGAAGCTTGCTGTCAATCTGAAAGACTTGCTTCTTTTTATCTATTATTTCTGTGTTATGTGTGTTACATTTTCAGGCTCCAATAGGCAGCCCGTTGACTCGCCACACCGCCCGCTCTCCAGCCAGCTGGACCAGTCCAGTCACGTCACCTACGAACACGTCCCAGAACACCCCTTCACCAAGGTAATAAACACAAMTTTTATATGAAACAAATACGATTTTATGCCAAATACCTGCAAAGTCCTTCACATAAAATGCACGTATGAAGGTTCTCTCTCGTCTTTGTAGCGCATTTGACTACGACATGGAAAACATGAACTCTGAGGACATCTACAGTTCGCTGAAAGGCGTCACCGAGGCCATCCAGAACTTCAGCGTTCGCAGCCAAGAGGACATGAACGATCCGGTCCAGCGACGAGAAGGAGAGGAGGTGAGAYGATGAGGACAGGATTTTATAATTCATATTTCCACTCTGCAGAGATCTGATGAGGCTGATGGACAGTTAGCACCGCTGTAAAACATTATCAGGAAGATCTTTTTGTAAATATCAGCAACAAGTTGGATTTTACACCGTATTGATTTTTTGTTACTCTTTAACAAATGAAAGTCCTTTAGATGTTGGATTTTAAAAAAAGGTTTGAGAAGCTTAACAATATTAATTCACTAATTTTTCACACAATTTTATCCAAAAAGTAAAGGTCAAGGTTGTTAAAAGCAGCAGAACGAGACATTTCAGCTGCGTTCTCCTGCTGTGAACAAAAAAAAAAAAAAAAAAAAAACTATAATCTGCAGAAATACAGCCGAATACCAGAATTCAGGTTATATTTTGTCTCTCAAATTTACAGTCAGGGTTTAAATGCTTCATTTTCAGACTTTAGGAGCCATAAAAAGTAATTTATGTTCCCTCAGGCATGCAGGCGAGAAGTTGTTGTGAAACACACACACAGCTCTATCATTACTGTTTTCCAGGATTTGACACACACACCTGTACTGTATGTGCCTCCGACATGTGATCCATCCCACGGCTCCTCGTGTAGCGTGGGAACTGAAATACACCCAGTGTTTATCAGCCGTTATCCTTTGCAGCCTTATAAACCCCTGTTAATAACGTTTCACCAGCTTAAAACATGGTTGCACCAACAAGAGGCGCCCCTTTAATGTCCYCTCACCCTCGTCTTGTTGGAGCGCTCGCTGGGTGCAAATTTATGGCTCCAGCCTCGTCCCGCTGCGTTCCCTTCCAATAACACAGGTCCCTTTTAAGGACACGGTGTTCTCCTGTACAGAGGTGTGACCTGCTGACATTTTCTCCAGGAGATGCGTCTGAAATTCAAGCAGGCCGCATGTCATCAGCACACCTGACTCATCAAAACGACCCTCACATAGTAGCTTTTACTGCTTGGAGTGTAAGCATGCACTCAAACACAAACACGTCAGACCCCATCGCCCTGTTTTTGCTCTTCACCTGGTGGGTCGTGTGTCGACCTTCACAAAGTCACCTGTTTGTTTTTAACACGTCTATAAAATAATAAAATAAAGGAAACTTAATCCGAAATGACCCCCGGTGGATGATTGAAGTGGAAAATTAAGGCCGGATCGCTTTGCTCTTAATCCTTTTCTGGTATTTATCAGCTGAAAACACAACAAAGCCCTGAACTTTTGACCTCTCTGAAACCGTCCTGTGCTCCGCCGCGACGCATGCAACTTCAGCTCGAGTGTGGCTGAAATAAATCCAGTGACAGCAACAAAAGTGGAAGCAGTCGATAGGGTTTTAAGGGAATTTCAATTTCATGGTACAAAAGTGCTTTTGTTTGGAACTTAAAAGCAAAATGTGACGTCCCTATTTAAAGCAACAGCTAAGAAACACCTTGAAGACTCGAACAGTGGTGATGCTTTCAGTCGTGTCATATGACCCCCCTGGAGATGTCTGGTTTTGTGGGCAGGTTTCTGTAGAAAGCTTGTCTGTTGTTGTTGTTTAACTTTTTCAGGACACAACARTTTGAAAGTGTGCACCTCGATCAGCAGTAGTGACAAGGTTCATAAGAATCCCTGAAAATGCTTGAATTATAACAGTGTTTTCAAGGTTTGRAAAGTKCTTGATTTCTGTATMAAGTTCTGGTGAACTGCCTGGTGGACACACCCCTGCTCCTCTCTGCTGCTCCTCCCTGCCTCTCATCTGGGTGATCCAGGTGGAACAAATCACCCAGACAATTGGAGAATGTAAGTGTTTTGTCTGAGACTGCAGCACAAGGGGTAATCAGTCTCAAATAAAGTGCAAAAAGAAAGTCTGAAGGACAGCCGGTAAGAATCATACTGTTATTGTTTGTTGATTGTTTACTTAAACTTACYGGAGTAGTGTATGGACTGAAAATAGTGACTCTGATTTTAATATTGAACTATTGGTTATGGAATGATTAAGTATTATTGTAATCAAACGATTCAGATTAAAAAAAATTCACACGTGGTGATTGAGGTTTTATTAAAAAAATCTGTATTTGGTAAAACACTAGGTGATTTGTGAAAGTAATTTATATTTTGTATGTTTATTGTACAATTGTATTTAAAATTGATGGTTAAAATATCTCTTTTGATGAACTGTAAATATTGGAAAAAATGGCATGAATTTAAATTGAATAACAGTTTTGGTAAAATACACTGATTTATTTGATTAAAAAATTGTCATGGTTTACTATTTAAAAAATTTACTATATTTTGAAAAATAATTGGTTTAAAGGGGACAGGTACTTGTTTGAAATTGTATCACAATGTATTTATTTTGGAGTAATTTAATTAAGTAATAGCTGTATTTGTATGTTTTGTTGAGGTTTTTCACCTAATTGCTGGTGTTTCCCACAATTCTTCAATAAATGTGGATCAGCAAAAGTTAAGACTATTCAATGAGGAATCCAGTTGAATCTTCAATGTAGAGGCTATCCTTTTCAAGTTGGAATTGCACAAAGTAAAAATAAATCCAGTACAACTTGACAAAGTGCTTTATTTTCTAATGGCACAGTTTTGTAAAAAAAAAAAAAAAAAAAAAAAGAGCCCTTAAACGGTTTGATTAAACAGTTTTAATGGCTTGAAAACACTAGATAGAAGGAATGGTTAAAATGAGGATCAAATCCTCAAGTAGCTTCCTGGAAAAAAGCAAGAACCTGCAGCTTTTCACAAGATGAGCCATAGTAGTGGGAGGGAATCTTAAATTTAAGCAAGCTTACAACAGGGTTCCTGCAGATCCCTAAAAAGGCATTGAATTCATCAATCCAAAAATAAACCTTAATTAGCCTTAAAATGTCTTAAATCAATCTTTCAGAAGTCTTCAAAATGTTAACACATTGTACATAGGATGATTGTAATTCACTTCAAATATTAAAATAATTGGTAAAAAAACTCATTTTTTTAAATATTCACATGCAGACACTCCTCTTTGACATCACTTCCTGTTATTTCACATGAAAATATCTCAACTGTTTATTTGAGCAATGTGAAGTTCGTTTTGTAATATGTTAATGCTGTCTTTCCAAAAATGCATTCACTTCTCTTAGAAAAAATTGATGTCACAGGCACTTTAAGTTTAAAACTGACTGCTAGGAATGTTTCTGCTAGCTAGATATGGATAAAAACAATTGGTCTATTAGCAATATTTGAATACTTCAACCAAAAATACTTTGGTTTATGAGTTTCTGACAGTTTTTATTTATAATTTGTGTTTATTAGGAAATTGGTCTTAAATTTAATTTCACTTAGCATTAAAAAGTCTTAAGGTCTTAAAATGAGCTTGGCTTAAACTGTATGAACCCTGTACAACCTTGCAGGTAATTTGCAAATTGACTTTTTTGAAGGATGGATGGAGCTGGAGTTTTGTCATCTACTGTACAAAACCAAAACGCTAGTAAAGGTGTTTAGTTAATGGTTTAATAACACAAAAAGAGGCCAATTCTACCTTTAACTACCTCTAAATCCACATGATGATGATGATGAGGGCTTTTAATGTGTTAATGTTCCATCACGTGTATTTTTCTTTGGTTTTCAGGGTGGCAGTGGGATGGAACTGGTGGACGGAGGCCGCATGGCTCTCGACAACAAGACTTCCCTCCTCAACACCCCCCTGCTGTCCTCCAGCCCCCGACTGGCCCGCGAGCACTTGTCCGACTCACCCTTCAAACACAGCCGCAGCAAAGACGCCAGCCTGGACGACTCGGAGCAGCTCGGTGACGGTGCGCAAACCCCCGGCCCGACAGCCGAACGCAGAGTTTACGCCGCGTGCTGTGATGAGTGAAAACACGTTGTCTTTGTKTGGAATGTCTCTGAGCAGAGAGCAACCTCGACCAGTCGGAGCTCGTGGCCGAACTCCTCAAGGAGCTGTCGAATCATAACGAGCGCGTGGAGGAAAGGAAGGCAGCGCTGTGTGAGCTTCTGAAGCTGATCCGGGAAAACACCCTGCAGGTGTGGGACGAACACTTCAAGACCATCCTGCTGCTTCTGCTCGAGACGATGGGCGACTCTGAGGTACACACACACACACACACACACACACACACACACACACACCGAGCCTTTATCAACTGAACGCAAACCGAAATTCCTTTCCCTTTGATCCTAAATCCCTTTCACTCTCTTAGCATGTGATTCGAACTCTGGCTTTGCGCGTGCTGAGGGAGATTCTTGGCAAGCAGCCTTGGAGGTTCAAGAACTATGCAGAGCTTACAATTATGAAGACCTTGGAGGCTCACAAAGATCCTCACAAAGAGGTAGTTTTATCCATTGAAAGGGTTTCACAGAGTCTAATTATTTCTCAAACCAAACAAAAGCTTTGGTTCAAACTAAACTTTTAGTGTTTAACAGAAATAGTTTGGTTAATCACATTTGATCCATCAGTTAAATATGTGTTTGTGTTTCTCTTAAGGTGGTGCGAGCGGCAGAGGAGACGGCAGCCATGTTGGCGTTGTCCATCAGTCCAGAGCAGTGTATCAAAGTGTTGTGTCCCATTATTCAGTCGGCTGATTACCCCATTAATTTAGCTGCCATCAAGATGCAGACGAAGGTGGTGGAGAGGATTCCCCGCGAGGGCCTGATCAGCATGCTGCCTGAAATTGTGCCGGGACTCATTCAGGTAGCACGCACACTGTTTTTTTTTTTTTAATAAAAAACCTGTGCAAGTCCTTATAAACTCCTGATTTTCAAGAACTCTGTTGCAAACTCGTCCGTTTCATGTGGCTCAACAGGGTTACGACAACTCTGAGAGCAGTGTGAGGAAGGCGTGTGTGTTCTGCCTGGTGGCCATCTACGCAGTGATAGGAGAGGACCTTAAACCTCACCTCAGCCAACTCTCCAGTAGCAAGGTGAGCGTTTCACACTCCATTCACCATGAGCCAGCAGACTCCAGTAGAAAGGTGGACTTGGCTGGAAAGGTTGAGTAAACACAGATCCCTGTGCAACACCAAGTTTACTGGATGATAAAATGTCTCAGAAGTTATTGCAATAATCGATAATAATAATAGTTTAATGCTATTTAGCATTTACATCACATTGCTTTATAAAAATCTGAATTTAAATTTTCTTTGTTCTTTTTTTTAATTTGCTGTTTGCAGCTGAAGCTGTTGAATCTGTACATCAAGCGGGCCCAGTCTGGCTCCAGCGGCAGTGACCCCTCAGCTGAAGGCCTATAGAAGTCACACAGTTCTTCCCCCCGGGAACCACCACAGAACTGCAACAAATCAAAAACACCCGCTCACGACATCACACCCCAAACATAGTCCAAGACTCACAGAAGAACTCCGCTGACGTTCACAGCAAACATGGCGCACACACACACAGACACCACAGGCGCACGCAGCGCTCACGTTTCTCTGCYTCACTGCAGAACAGGAGTCACGGTGCCGAGTAGAGGAACGTTGTAGTTCTCCTCACCATTATGGAGCATCCTCCCCACTTTGTTTTGTTTCAGACTGAACTGAACCCTTACATCTGGAATAAACCTTAACAGCTGCAAACACCCTCGTCCAGTCTCCTCCCACGTTCATCACTAATCACCACAGGATGAAGTGTCCGTCCAACAGTATTCACYCATTGTCAATAAGGACTGGTGCATCTGCATGATTTTGATTGATTTTTTTTTTTCTGAAGTTTCATCAAACACTGCRACAAACTGTGCCGTTTTCTGTTTCTTGAACAGTGAGTAACCGGGTCCAGTTWGATGAGAATGTACATTTATATTGTGTCATATTTTGGCTTTATTTTACACAATTACTTATTTTCTTTTTTTCCCGGTGCTTTTTAATACCAAGACTTCACACATTAAAACATACCCTTTGTTTTTTTTTTTTAAAGAAAGGTGCTGATAAACCTAAAAGGTACGACGGACCGACCGACCCCTGGACAGCTCTGGTCTCTGCGGGTCACACCTGCTCAAAGCAAACAGAACTAAATCCAAAATCTGGGAGCCCTTATGTGCTTGGCTATGCATGAGACATAATGTAAAAAAATGTTAACATTTTATTGGGGTCCCGAGGGTTAAAACAGTGTGACTGAGGTTTTAATTTAATATAAACTATGTCCACCCCTTTCAGATAAATCCACGATTGTTCTCCTTTTCTTTCAGCTCATGTCCGATCGGCCCGTTTCTGGGCAACATGAGGGGGTGCGTGCTTTGTGAACGAAGTATGATATGACTTATTATCACGTAGTGGATATGTATATTAAATTAAAATAGAATATCCAATACCAGTGTCGTTCAGGAGTGTCCCCCAAGGGGGGGATGCACACACACACCTTCACCCATCATTTTTTACTTCCCCCTCTGTTGCCATCCTCGCTCATGGTTTCTTCTGTTTTCTCTTCTCCGCTGAAAGGTTTGTAGAAATGTATTATTTACAGCTCTGAGAAAAATGTCATGTTCTCATATTTCTCTTTTCCTGTTCATTGTCTTTTTTTCCTCCTTCCTCTTGTAACATTCTAGTTTTCTCTGTGCATTTACAAAGCTGTGCTTACAATAAAATGAACTTGTACAGATCAACACACGCAGCAGGTCGATTGATTTCAGGTTGAAGAACTAAAGAAGTTAATGTTTTTTTCATAAAATGACTTTCTGAGCTGACATCAAATGTAAAAAGTCCTGACTTGGATTCTCCATTATTAGCACCAAATCCTCACAATTTTCCTCACAAATTGCTGCAGCAGACAAATAATGAGACCAGCATGCACTTGTTGCACTTGTTATATTTAAATGTGGCTAATTCAGACATGGTGTTTAAAAAAACATTTACATCTTATGCAATGTAGCCATTTTAGATGCTGGTGCTGAATTTCATCTATGCGTCTGTTCTCTGAACTGTATATTTAGGAGCAGCTGAAGAGGGTCCCAGACCCAGCTCCGCTCTGACCCTGTGGACTCCCAGCCAGTCGTCTTCAAACCGCAGCGTCAGTTAATTCTTTCCTGAAAGCTGAGTGAGGAAAACATCGGTTACAGAAGAGAGAGAAAAAAATTATATAATTTTTTGTGGCTTGATAATTCTACTGGAGAAGTTACACTTTATTTTGAATGCAAACGTACCAATTTATTACATTTGATGCACAAAAGCTTCGCTTCAAACTCGACGTTCTGCAACACAAACGTGCTGGATGCTTATTTTAGCAACAACATTAAAAACCAATAAATCACTTTAATGACAGGTTTTCAAGATGTTCAGCGTTGTCTTGATTATCACCTGCTGACAAAAGTCAAAGGTAGACGAAGTTTGTGTTTGTGTGCACTTGTTACCAAAATATCTCCTGAACTACTGGGCAATTTTGGATAAAAGTAATAATTAGACTGACATTTAAAACTGATTAAGTTTTGGCATCACAAAGGTTATAACTGACATATTTGTTTTGTAGCTGAGAGTTACTCAGCCTCAAAACGAGTTGATCTGAGACCTCAAATAAGGGGTAAAAGAGGGGCTTGTGGAGTTGCAATAAGGAGGAATTTAGACCAAAGTGTGGAAGTTCCACTTTATACAGGATTTAAAAACATATGTCTGCTTTAACCAAAGTATCCCTTCACAATAAGCAACATGCAATCTTTCAAAGAACGCCAAGTCTTCAATTAAAACTTTAATTGTGTTGAACTTTGATGATTATGTGAATTAATTGGATTTTTATCTCAATATGTGTGGCTGTTACAAATAAATCCCCCGCCAAGCCGTAGTTTTTTGCAGACAGCATCAGATTGTCCKTCATAATTTTCCCTGCTTTATTTTACCATCTAAGTTTTTCCGGGCTATGTAGAGGTACCCCCATAGCATGATGCTGCCACCACCATGCTTCACAGTGGTTATTTGGTTTCTGCCAAATCCACAATAATAATTATTTGGCCTTTTTTTTTTAAAGACTGATCAATAATAATAAAAGGGGTAAAACATACAAGGAGGTGAACACATATAAAAGTAAGACCTGGCTTTTCTGGATTTCTTAAGAAGTTGGACTCTAATTATGTCTCGAGGCGGGGTCTGGTTCCTCTGGAGCCAAAATAGTCCTCCTGTCTGAACAAACTTCAGACCTGCCCCACATGTCAGACGGATAATTATTAATCAGAACAGAACAGAAGGGCAGGGAGTCCCAGCAAGTCTGTAAAGAGAGTTTTATTAGTTTATTTTATTTTTTATTATTATTACCTTCAGTGGAATGAATCAARCGCTTCACTGGTCCCGTTTGGACCTCGGTCTCGGGGAGAGTCGTGTCCGTCTGCCGCAGAAGTGACAACCGAGTGGACTGACAGCTGTTCCCGGAGACMCCAATGTTGTTCTGGCAGTCCTACACTGAAAACTTCCAGGTTTCTGTGCAGAAACACGGCGGAGGCAGCTACACACGGTATGAAGCGCGTAAACACTTGTTTATGGTCTCTGCATGCCAGGAGTGCCAAAACAACATATGCGACATGTTGATTCGCCATTTTGCCTCGACTCTCACAACTAAACCTCTCTTTTTTGTGCTTATTATATATTTGTTTGTTTATGTGCGGTGTGTGTACCTATAATGTCATTTGATGACGATTRTTACTTTGTAAATACATAGTTTCTTGAAGGCAGAGCGCAGCTACAGTTGGACACAATGACGGAAGCTCCGAGGCGTCTGATTGGCTGATTTTTCTGCACTGGGCACAAGAGGTGGCTCCTGATTGGCTGCTTTCCGTCCTGGCATCGTTCCTGGGGCTGGCGGCAGCGGCGGTGGTGACCCAGCAGCAGCRGAGCTAGCTAGCAGTCTGTATGTCGAGGAAGCCATGTTGATGCCTGTTTCTGTGTCAAACGTTACGTTTCGGTTGGTTAAAGGAGTGCGGGTTAAAGACGGGAAGCCTCAGCGGTGATTCGAGACCCGCGATGAGAAGAGCGGAGCGGACTGGGACGGTCCAGGCAGCGCCAGAGGAGGGGAGCTGGTCTTAGGTCGCTGGCCAGTCGATTCAAAGCAAATGAAGTTGATGCTAGTTAGCMGCGCGGACGCTGCGTGGGATGCGGCTTTGGAACTACCAACCGTAATTTTTTAGCTTTACGGGTTTTATTGAACGAACCAGMCTGCCAGGTGACTCTGCCCGAAGTGACGGGGCTGATGAATTCGCGCTAGCTGTTGTAAACTGGCTTTGTGAAGCTAGCTGCTAGCCGAGGTTAGCATGCTGACAGTCAGCTCGCATCTCCTATCACGACTGCGTGTTAGCTGAGGGAGCTCCAACTTTATTGTTTCTGTCGAACAGTTCACCGCAGGAGTGGAAGGGAAAAACAAGCTTTTTCGGAAGCAAAGAAGAAATATGGTGGCGAATTCACTCCCCGGGGGAACCRACCATTTCGCAGCCTAACTTTCCTCCTCCTGCAGTATCGCTGCGGAGCCCTCGTCCTCCTCTTCCTCTTACCTGAAGCAAGCTGGCGGCCCTCCGGGTAGAAGCCGAGGACAAGGACCTGGGGCCGATGGCCTGGGTCCTGAAGATGGACGATGCCGCCATCGAGTCGGGGCTCGTGCACGACTTCGATGCTAGCCTGTCTGGTATCGGACAGGAGCTCGGAGCTGGAGCCTACAGCATGAGGTTAGAGACGAGCTTCATCATGGGACAGGACCGGGGTCGCTAAGGAAGAAAACAAACACACACACTGCTTCTTGTTCGTGTTAACACTATAGTTCCCTCGTGTTTTATTGCCTTCACAGGACGTAATGGTGTGTTTTTCTTTTTTGGGTGCCACGAACATTAATTTCTYTAAATTCAACGCACAAAAATAGTTCATAACTTTGGAGGAAAACTCGTAAATCAGCCCATCCTGTTTCTCAAATGATGGGTGTATCACTGAAAGATATAAACTTTGGTTTCAACAAGGAAGTCTGTCGAAATGTTCCCTGGCTTTGTTTCTGAATCTAGTGGTATGTGTAAACAAAAGGGTTGTTTTTATGTCTGGGCCAGTGTGTTTGGTTTTAATATCAAAATCTTTATCTGATTTATATTTTATTTTTCTGTAAATCAGTGGCACTGAACATTTTSTTAAATAAGCGCACGTGTTGAGATTTCCCTGCTGCTAAGAAAGCATTGRTTTGTTTTTCCCAGTGATTAATATTTATTTTGCATCATGTTACACTAACATTGGATTATTGGGACATTACTCATCTAAAACAAACAAATTTAAAGCCGTCAGTTCAGACCAAGATCATCTTACATTGTGAAATGACAAAGTTGCAGCTGTTTTCAGTAAACCGTCAAAATAATTGCGCTTGTCAAATCTGTTTGCACTCAGAAAATATGCTGGAGATCAGCCTCAGCTACTACCACACCAACTTCTTGGTCACTGTTTGCGAAATTAACCGAGTTATAACAATTTTTTTGTTTTTTAATATCAGTTGAATGTGGAAGCCATCTTAAATCGCGTTGACTCTGAAAGTTAATCRGTTTTAGATTTACATCTAWTGATAACTTTCTGCAAGTTTCATTAAAATTCGACCAGTGGTTCACAAGATATTTTGCTAACAGACACGAACAGACAGGCAAAAACATTGTTTGCCTTTTTGAGTCGGGCATTAATTAACAATAGAGCAACGATTTAAAAACTGGAAAGCGCACAAATTACTGCAGTTAAGAACATTTAAAACTAAGCTTTTCTTGTTATTGTAGAATTAAAAACACACCTCAATCTTAAAGTATTTTATCCAATGTGCTTCAACTGCTAAACATTGTTTAGTAGAAAGTTAAAAAAATACATGCAGTTCAGCTACAAAAGCTTTTTTTTTTTCTGGTGCCAACCTTTTAAAATGTCRTGTTGCATCAGATCCTGGTCCCAAACATTTCTGAGCTGTGACTCCTCATAAAACCCTGATTAGTCAGCATTTCATGTTTATAATCAGTTTGTATAGGATGCGTGGATGTGTCCTGTTCGATTTTTATTTTTGAAATAATAACTCGTAGCAGCATTGTTGTTAAGCACCTGTCCACTTGTTTGTAAGTTTGTGTGCGTTTGTTTCGTGTGAAAGGTGAGTGGGAGGCTGTGATATTTCTACAAGGAGGACAAGCGTGTGTGTGTGTGTGTGTCTGTCTCTTATCAGCAGCCCCTTCTTCCATCTGCTTTTAGTGTGTGTTTATCTGCGTGTGACGCAGGTGTGTGCCACCAGTCACCCGCGGGTTCAAGCCAGTTTGCCAGTACTGAATTCGTGGCATGCACGTCGGTGAATTTGTGAAAACAGAGAATGCATCTGTGATGCTGGGGTGGGTTGGGAGGGGGAAAGTCGGCAGCTGGTAGGGACAAAATGTCTGGATACGTTTCACTCCTCAGATTGTGTGTCGGGGTGGCATGGCTCAGCAGGGCTGCAGGACCCAGGCTGGCAGTATCGGAGCGAAAGCAAAGGGTCGGTGTGCTTTTTAAATGTAAGAAAAAAATCCCACCAACTGCTGCTGGACTCATGGCGTCCAAAACTTTTAAGTGACGAGATGAGACACTGCAGTCTGCATTTTTTGCATGGATGGGGTTTGTTTTTGTTTATTTTTCCCGAAAAGCACGGGAGATTCACACGCACGCTCGCTCCAGTTGACTTTGCACCCACTGACACACCCGCACCATTTGTCAGGGTGAGCCGAGGATAGGTTCGTTGTCCGAGCTGTCTGCCAAGTATGAGAAATAATATATGTCAGCAGCTCAGACTGTCTCTGAGTGTTTCTGCTCATTTATTCTGCTGCAGCCTCATAAATACATAATAAGACGCCTGTTTGATCAATGGAAGGACTCCAAATAAAGCTGGTCCTTGTATTAATCCCACACTTTGACAGGGTTCAATTTGTCAAGAATTTAAGTGACAAACATTTTGGGTGCGTTGGATATGGAAAAAAAAAAAAGATGAATAACGACCACTTTGCTGTAATCGTGTTTGTAAACWAAAATGTAATCTACAAGTGAGGTGTCAGTTAAGCTCTGGATATCGTGTCACATCTTTCCATTTTTCTTCTGTCTGTSTGTCTCAGCGATGTGCTGGCTCTGCCCATCTTCAACTCCTCCAGCCTGCCCCCCGAAAACAAGACCAAAAACCCCCCATTCCAGTATGTGCTTTGCGCCGCCACATCACCTGCTGTCAAGCTGCACGACGAGACGCTCACATACCTAAACCAAGGTGAGTCACACTTYGAAGGGACCTTTGGCCAAAATATTTACATGACAAACTGTTTTTTTAAGTGCTTAAAACAGGTTTGATGTTGAATGGTTTTTGGACACTACATGCAGGAGTTATCAGTATATCACTGTTTTCTTCACACCACGATACACACTCTTTCAGGAACAAACTTTGTTCTGGCCAGGATGTTTCATAATTTACGAGAAACTCAAGTGCAGAGCTCTACTGGAAAAGCCGTTCTCGCTTCAAATATCAGACAAATCACACAGGGAGAAAAATAAATAAATTCTGGACAGATGATGTCAAGAAGAAACTTCCAGGAATCCCAAACCAGAGCTGCAAAACARAAGTGACATAATTCTTTTCTCTCAGAACAAAAAGAACAAACGCAGCGGCCTTTATCTTGGCCATCAACTACTCYGCGAGTTTCAGATGTTTTCCTGCGTCATCACACCTGATTTAAAGTGACGGGCCATTATCAGGCTCCTGCAGAACTTGTTGGGGGTAATTTATTCCCGTTAATCAGGTGTGTTGGACGACAGGAAGCCCTGAGGACTGAGATTGGAAAWCATCATTAGGTTGAAACTGCTTTATTTAAAAGCTCACATGTCGTGAGTTTCACTCTTTTTAAAAAGCTGTGAAGAGCTCGAGAGATTCCTGAGAGGAAATTCTGCTTTACACAGAAGTGAAAACAAAAGAGAGTGACGATCTCTTAACACCCCAGCATTGTTTTTATGAATAAAAGCAGCTTTACACCCTCTGCCTTCTTCAGGCCAGTCTTATGAGATCCGTTTGTTGGACAACAGAAAAGCAGGGGAGTTACCAGAGCTGAACAACAAGATGGTGAAGGTGAGAGAGTTAACCGGAGAAAGATCTGCTTCTGGTGACCCACGTAACTCATATCCAACACGTGTGTTTGTCTGCAGAGCACGGTGCGAGTGGTCTTTCACGACCGACGGCTGCAATACACGGAGCACCAGCAGCTGGAGGGCTGGAGGTGGAACCGTCCAGGCGACCGTCTCCTTGACATCGGTATATACCTGCCGAGAAATGTTTACTTCAACTTTCTCATGTGTGTGTGAGAGTTGCAACTCAAATATCCGTGTGTGTGTGTAACAGATATCCCCATGTCGGTTGGCATTATTGAGCCGAAGACTCACTCCTCCCAGCTTAACGCCGCAGAGTTTCTGTGGGACATGAACAAAAGGACGTCTGTTTTTGTGCAGGTATGACCCGCTCTGTTTCGCTGCGTTTTCACATCAAACACGTGCTTTGATGGTGTCCTCTCGTCTCTTCCCCCGCCCGCCCGCAGGTGCACTGCATCAGCACAGAGTTCACTCCCAGGAAGCACGGTGGAGAGAAGGGCGTCCCCTTCAGGATCCAGCTCGACACTTTCGCCCAGGGAGAGGGTGGCGAGTACACAGAACACCTCCACTCTGCGTCCTGCCAAATCAAAGTCTTCAAAGTACGCGCCCACCCTCTCACACGCAACACTGTTGATGTTTTTATGGTCGCCTCTCAGCCCAAACAGTGATTACGCTCCTTTTTTAATTTGTGGTTTCTTCTTCTTTGCTTCCTCTTTAGCCAAAGGGGGCAGACCGTAAACAAAAGACTGACAGGGAGAAGATGGAGAAGCGCACTCCTCAAGAGAAAGAAAAGTACCAACCCTCCTATGATACCACTATTTTATCAGAGGTCAGTGTTCATCTGCTGGGGTCTGTCACACCTTTTTATTGGGCTTATAATCATGCTTCCTCTTTTCACTTTAGTGTTATTTGTTGATCTTGTAAAGGCCTTTGTTCAGACCTGCTGGTTTAATACAATCACAAGTGGGCGGAGCTAAATGTAAAGGTGTGGATGTTGTGTTTAGATCAGATTCAGACGTGGTATGAGATGCTTTTTATTCACTTTTATTCGTCTATTGACCTGATGTGACTCCACACAAACAACTGTTACCTGAATGTTTTCTGTTTTTCAAAAATAAATGAAAAGCTATGTTTTGTTTAAAAAATACTTTTTAAATTTAGATCAATTGAATGGTAATCAGTGGGCTTAATCAGAAGAG